TAGGTCCTTTCCCTAAACTTCAAAGCACTGGCTGAAGGCAAACACCTTTCCTCAAAGGGGCTATTGGCTCCAGCCTCAGTGGCTCTCAGTGCTGGACACTAGACTGGACAGAGCCAAACACATCATTGAGCATACCTGGAAACAACTACACCTAGAGCAGTCTTTCTGCAACAGGATGGATTGTGTTACAGTTAAAAATTAATTCCTGTGGAAATAAAATATTAAAGCAATCATGATAAGACTAATAAAGCTTTAGTAAAGAAGAGCAGATCATTTGATATGGAGAGCCATTTGCGTTTACAAGAGCTTTGATGAATGGGTGGAATGAACTTCAAACTTTGGCTTCCTTGGTTTTGAACAAAGCGATAGGGTAAATTTTTCCAAAATGTTATCTGGAGTATCAATAGGTTCTGCTAATGACATAGTTGGCAAATCAGCATCTCTTATTTTTCATTCATCTTTCAGGTTTATTCGTATAATTTCTCATTCAGTGGTTATCGTGCTACTAAAAGCCGTATTTTGATGCTCTTGGTACGCTGATGTAATGGCTAATCTTCCTCAGATGTGTGGCTGTATTCCTCACCACCAGCTATAGTCTCCCACCTTTGCATTCATCACACTAGCAGTGAGTTGGTTCATAGGCTGAATGGGCAGGAAAAGTATCCCTTTCTTCTGTGCTGCCCCACAATAAATAGGCTTTTGTAAATTTGCTTCTTGAAGGCAGTTCAAAGAGCCAAAGCCAAAGAGGAGGCCTGGAATGCAGAGCTGAGGGGATGAAGGGGAGTGGGACTGTCCCCTTGGGAAGCAGCTGCCCAGACTTCCTAGGTGTATTGTCAAATACCACATCCTGAGGGTGGCCTCTCCTCTCTGTGGCTGGATGTGGATTTAGGGACCACTTAGAAGATGAGGTTTGGATGGTTTACGTGACATTAAACTAATGATCCATATGGTCTGCAGTGAAAGCATAAAATTATGGTATATGCTATCAAAGACTGAGCATTTTCTGCTGTCTATGAAGAAGTTTTCAAACAGGGTAAGTACCCTTGCTGACCTGGGTTTGTGTAGGGTCTTTTTAGCTGTTGGGGTGGCTTTGTGCTTCCCACTGTTGCATTATAATCTCTAGAGTAAGGAATTGAAACTCCCAACTTCCTAACTTTCTGAGGTTTGAGGCAGAATTTAAAGATTTGCATCTGAGAAAGTGTCAAGTGACTAGAAAGGCAGTATGTTGAGAACTACCCTGCCAAGATGTGTCTTTGTTCCTACTCTTATAGCACTTGATCTACCTATATCATTATAAACAAATAATGAAAATTAGGGGGATGCTTGACTCCACACTGTAACAGACAAGGAATTTTAGTATATTGCAACTGAAAGAAGTGTGATTTCAGGAATATTTTTATCTACCTGAGACTACTCGAGTGTAGTTCTGTCCATTGTGTTCAATGTGGCATTTCTTCTTGGGCCAGCACAGAGGCATCTGGAATGGTTGGTCATACTCATTGATTAGGTGTGCCCCGGATGACTTGTTCAAACACCATTTTGTAAGATATCCATTCCAAGGTGAATTCTTTGGAGCCATTTTTATGATTGGGCTTGCTTGGAATTGCATATCTATAAAAATCAGAATGATTTCCGTCTCCAAGAACTACATCATTTGTCACTTGACACAGTTGTATTGCCTCCTGCCTTTTGACAAATTTTTCTTTACATACTGTTTTGTTTGATTGGTTTAAAGATGTCCAATGCTATTATATTTAATGTATATCAGACGTATTTAATATTTTAGATAACTGCTAAAATATAGCAAATGGTTAGCTTTATAGTGAAAAAATAGCTAAATTGCTGTCTTCCTTTTCATATTCTGTCTAATTTCTGCAAGTTTTGATCTGAGAGTGATATCTGCTGCTGGACTGTGACTCAACCAAATGCCATGTGTATATGTTGGAAAGTTTGGATCCAGCCAGTTTCAGTTGTCTTTAAGAGTCAGAGTTCATTTTGATTGAAGAGCATTGAGATACTGCTGTTTGTTTGATCAATTCAGTTCTATTTTGGGCTTTTCTCAAAAGACGCTGATGCATTTTGTTGGTAGCAGAGGACAAGATTTTTGGAATATTGCAATTATTAGAGCTGTGTCAGGAAGGTGATCTCTTCCTAACCATCCCACACATCAATAGTTATTATTAAAGGAACACCAAGTATTATGGTTGTTTTTTCTGGAGAAACAGTGAGAGCACCATTTCCAGTGCGTGTTAAGTTAGTGAAGACCTGTTCAAATGATGTCTTCCGCTCTTTATTTTCCCAATGTGTGTTGATTCTTTGTTAATGTTTTATCACCCAAAACCCAGTAGCATCTCTAAAGTCGTGACATTTTTAGATTTCACAGGCAATAGTCCATAAATTTCTTAAATGTTTGTGGGAAATAAACATAAAGGAGCTTTCTCATTACCTTTCGTTAAATGCCTCTCTGGTTGGCTTCAGCAAGTGAAACGTATAATACAGGCCTATAAATGTAGGACTATAAATACATACTCCTAGAAAGTTCTGAGCCTGAGAACATCAGGCAGCAGAGGCCTTTTTATGTGGCTTCATACAGTGCATTTAGTTCATTTACTCCTTACATGGTTTGGCTTAGGTATATGTGTATAGTGCTATCTCCCTGCCTGGTTTCCTGACAAATCTAGTTTCACAACCTGGGTGAACAGACCCTAAAAACAGAGTTACATCTGGGATCAAAACACTGAACGGGGGGAAATGAAGAATTAGTTGGTTTTGCAGTGTTTAGCTATATGTAGTATTCAGTATTGCCTTTGGCAGATGCTCTTATTTGAAAGCTCACTGAGTCAATATTGAGTCAAGTTTTTAAGGAATCTGAAAATACCAAATTGTTTCTTACTCTTTCTCACTGTGGACCAGGCTAATTTCAGATAGCTCTGTCTCATAGCTTCCTGGCAAACATTTCAGTAAATTCTATCACATTTACATTCTGCAGAAACCTTTTACCCCTCAAAACTTTTACAGTTGATCTCTATTGGGGAAAGATATTTTTAGCAGCTGTCTTTGAAAACTAGGCTTTTAACCAGACTGAAGTCCCTAGAAGTCATCAATAAATACAGAATTGTTTGCAGTGGGGTACTGTAGCTGGCTTTTTAAGATAGATTTGCTATAATATTGCTCAAAATTCTTAAAAGATTATCTCAGGTAGCTTTTAATTTGCATACGTAGCATTACCAGATAATAACACTCTATCATGAAGTTTGGTGAGAACATGTTTTCGCCCCTTTCATGATACAAGGTTTGATCCTTGTGTGATGCAAAGTGCCCTGGGCGGGGTGTAGCAAGGTGCTTATGCACATGAATGAGCTAGAATGGAGTATATGAGCCAGGCAGACCCATCAGTGAACTAGACCCACTGACCTTGGTGTTAGCCTTAAGCAGGTGCGTGAATGCTGCAGTGGAATGAGAACGCTCAGAAGTCATTAGGCACAAGTGTTGGCCAGTAGCGCAGAAAGAGGAAATGTAGCATTGCCCTCAGAAAATGATAACTTTTTCTCCTTCTCTTACTTCCAGGTCCTACTTAGACATGTATAAGGTGATAATATTTAGTTACCTCTTCTGGTTTGTGCTTACTATAATCTTCATAACGGGAACCACGAGGATCAGCATATTCTGTATGGGCTACTTGGTAGCCTGCTTTTATTTCCTTCTCTTTGGTGGAGATCTGTTGCTGAAGCCCATCAGGAGCATTCTGCGTTACTGGGACTGGCTGATTGCCTACAATGTCTTCGTGATCACAATGAAGAACATCCTCTCGGTATGCAGCCACTGCCTTTCCTCTGCCCACAGCACTTTGGTTTCATTGGAAGTGTGCACATTGCATTGAATGGTCATTAAAAATCCTTTTTCAGGATGACAGTCTTCTACAGTCACAAAGCAGGCTCCATTTTAATTCAGAAACTGCAAGTGCATGTCCAGGGAATGGTAGTGCACATACATTATAGGAAAATGTGCACCCTCGTGTTCAGCCAGGCTCTGTGAAAGCTCACAAGCCATTTTCAAAGGGCCAGATTCTGGTTTCTTTGCCTAGTAAAGTCTGTCCTTAGAAGACTTGTGAAAATCTCAGTGGAGTGAGAATTGAGTAAGAAGTACAAGGTTAGTTGTACCATTGATAAGTAGTGCACATTTAATTAAACCTTTTATTTAAAACTAGAATTTTCAAACCTAGTACTAGCTGCAGTTGTTATGTGATGTAATGCAATTAGTGAAGTTGACTACAAAATTACAAACTGCATTCCTGTTTCCTTTAGAACTAGTGTGAAATTCAGGTGAAAACAGATATATTTGATAATTAAATGTCAAATTTTTCTGAAAAATATTAAAATTTTTCTTACATTAAGTAACTCTTTAGAGCAGATTCTTGCAGTGACACTGATAGGTGGTTTAGACAAGCCAGTAATTTAAATCTTCTTGAAAGATAAATTTAGATTTATTCCTGGCAATTGCTTTTTAACTTTAAACATTTTTAGTGCTGGACTGAAAAGAGCAGACATTTTTCTTTTTACATTTATATAAGTCACTGTACTGAAATAAAATTGATTTATGGGTGGTTTGAATTTGCAAAAATTCTAAATGCTTACATATGTGCTACATTTTATGCTTGGAAATTCAGTGGAGCTACGGGTGTGTTAAGCTTGACCATGTATGTTTGCAAGATTAAGTCACTATAAAAGTTGCTTAGCTGTCACATTGCATCAAGTGCCAGAGGTATCACTTCCTCGCAAAAACACAAACAAAACCCACATACCTCCTATCTCCCTGATAATCAACAGAACAAATTCTTGCTATCTAAAAGTGATGTGTGTCGCTGGTAAAGGCACTCTTTCTTCTAATCTCTGTTTTACTAATGAGATATAATGCAGCCAAGAGCAGTCACAATATTCTCATGTAACGTAAAGAGGTGCAACTTACCTTTATTTCTGCAATGTCTTGTTATATGAAACTGTTCTTTTACTTTCCAGATAGGAGCATGTGGCTACATTGAATCATTAATTAAGAATAGCTGCTGGTTGATTCAGGCATTTAGCCTGGCTTGTACAGTTAAAGGCTACCGTATTCGTAAGTATAGCTCATTTTTCTTCGTAATTTTCTATCAACAAAAAATCACCTTCAATATCTTCTACCATGTTTAACTTGTGCCCTCTCCTGACCTATTACCTTGTGAAAAAATAGTACCTGCAAGTTCAGTTAATACAACTTGGTCCTGTATTGACTAGTAACACAGAATATTAAAATATTTCTTAGTACCAAGAGAGATACGTATACAGAGAAGACTATCAACACACACACACACACCCACAACCAGCATTTGCTGTAAATGAGAAATTTAGTGATACCAGTGCTTAACAGTTTCCCTGCATATACAGGTGATCTGATACTTGGGGGTATGGTTTCAGTGTACACTGGAGCTAAAATGTCAGCTCACTGTCACTGCAAGGAGGGGGCACCTTTTCCCAGCTGCAGACTCCCACTCCTCCCTGTGTGCCCGGTCTTACGTTCCGTTGCTCAAAGGGTAACCCAGTTCAGCTCACTGAAATGGCAAGAGACTAAGCCAGTGTAAAAGTGGTAATTTTTTTTAAATGATTATTCTAAGTTTGTGGTGAGAACAGGGAGGGCGTGGATAATGTATGTGGATGGAGGTGAGAGAAGGAAGGAATGAAATATGGAGAGCAAGACACTTCACCTCTCAGTGAGCTATTAATTTGGCTCCACTTTGTCCTGACACCCTGGCTTGACAATTTGAAAACACCTGATTTTTTTCAGTCTTTTTTCCTGAATTTGAAGAACTGTTTCATCCTAGTGAGTCTGCAGCAAAGTTCTGAACTCCTGTCTTTGTGTCTGATCCTAATAGATAAGTGGGAAGTAGGGGAAAAGAAAGAATATACAAAGACACAAATTCACAAGATACGTGGTGCCCAGTAGTTCTTGTATTATCCAAAACTTTTTGAGCAGCAACAGAACTTACACAGAGGTTTCTGACTCCCCAGGGAATGGGCACAGCAGCCTTTGAAGCTCTTGAAGCTTGACCTTCCAGACCTATTAGACTGGCTTGCTTGACTGTAAAGCCAGCTTCAAGCCAGAGTCTGTCCCTTGAGTCCTGCTCCCTTCTATAGGGCAGCATAGGCCGTTTAGTTTATAGTCTAGCTCCACAAAACCCAGTTTTAATTTTTTAATATCCCCAAGAGAACTGTCTTTTAGAGAAAGAAAGAAAAGAAAGAAAGAACCCACGCCAAAATCTAGAGGTAGGAGGAATGGGATTTCCTCTCTGCCTGTCTCCTCCTACCCCAAAGGAAGCAGTTTTGTGGTTTCAAATATTTTTTCTTTTATGCAATGGAAAGAAACATTGAACTGAGTGTGGAGAGGAAAAAGAAAAATATTACGTGATGGCAGTCAAAAAATTACTTTGACAAAAATAATACACTTCTTTATCATGTTGGTAGTGTTCTTAATAGAGAAATTACTCAAAAAGTCACTTTGAAATGAAAAAAAATTGAAACCATTTTAGAAAGTACTGAAATCAAATATTTCAGACTAACAAAGAAATACTTTTTTCCCATTCTTTGTGTTCGAGTACTTGTTAGGATAGGGTGAATTTGTTTGCAAATGGTTCACATTTGGTGAATTCTCAGTTTTCATGGGATATCAAGTTGTTGGAAGCTTTCTAGTTTGCTGTAAAAGAAAATACCGTGTACTTCAAATGGAAATGCATGTCAATTTTCGTAAGAAAAATCTAATTAAAGTACCTCAATTCAAATAATTTTAAAGGCTAAGATTATTTAATTGATCAAACATTAAAAAAGAATACCTAATACAACAGTTCTTATGCTGATGGGATTTTTTTCCAGCAATGAACAACCTAGATTGTAAACTGCCCAGTGGAGAAGCAGGAATCATTTGGGACAGTATCTGCTTTGCTTTCCTGCTGCTGCAAAGAAGAGTCTTCATGAGTTACTACTTCCTGCATGTGGTTGCAGATATAAAAGCTTCTCAGATCCTAGCATCAAGGTAACATAAAGTTTTAAAAAATTAAATGAAACAGCTCAAGTCTCTCATGGCTAGGGTACTTACTTGTTTATGATAGACAGTACCAAAAGAGTCCTTAAACATTGGTTTAAACAATCCATGCAAAATTCATAATTGCAAACCCAGCTGACAAAGCACACATGCAAAAACAAATTAATTGAGAATCTGATAGAAATTAAATCATCTTTCCTACCGAACACCATCTGCTGCTCTCATAGCCTGTATTAAAAGCTGTGAAAGCTGACGTGTGTTGAAGCATTCTCTCAACATCAGTATATATGAGAGCAAACGCCAGAGTTTCTAAGCCTTGGAAAGAGAACACTGCTGTCAGAGCCCGTTTGAGACGATGGGCCTTAGAAATCACAACTCCAGAAATGTCACATGAGGAAAAATACAGGGAAGTTATTACATCTGGCTCGGGAAGACCATCAGGAAGGCACTTGGGAAGTGTCACATGACCGAATGCTGACTAGGCGTGGCAAGGAAGTATCACCCTCTTTGGGCCTGTTACTTACGCTTTCCCACAAGCATCCACTCATAGCTATCATTAGCACAACCATTCTTCTGGTTTTTAATAAGAAGGCAGATCAGGAATGAAATTCTGGTTTTAATTTCAGTAAAATTTCTAAGAATTAAATTTATGGTGGCATTTTTTTTCCCTGAAAAACATATGGACTTTGATTTGTGTCTGTGTTTAAGGGCAAAATTTGGCTTGCGTGTCCTGAAGGGAAGTATGTTTTATCTTCCACTTCTGCCTCCTCCAGTGACTACTTTAAAAAAGGAACATGTTTAGCTGCCCATACTGAACAAAATTCACCACTGTAAGCAGGGCTACCAAAAGATCTATACCTCCATCCCATATTGCCTCTCTCAGACTTTTACTCTGTGGTGAATTTCACTGCTGATGCTCAATTTTGCTGAATACCATCTTTTTGTAGCTTTTTTTGTGTGCTGTGTTCACAGTGAAAATAGCAGAAAGCAAAATCATGAGTATCAAAATGCCTTCTAAATTGGAAAGTTTGCATCCAGAAGGAAAGAGCAGGCTCATGTAAATGGCACTGGGCTGGGTTGAAAGAAATATGTTTGCTTCCTGCTTCCAGCTTTGTGTCTTTTGATAAGTTACTGAACCTACCTGGGCTGGATTTCTCCAGCAGCAGAAGTGGAGGCATGCTGGCCTATGTCAGGAGCTTTGTAAAGATAAATGTATTAATGACTAGGAAGTGCCAAGATACTACAGGAAGGAGGGTAGTATCAATATAGTGCTGTAATTAATTTTTTTAGTTAGCTGCTTGCCTTGCTGAAATCCAAGCTTTGAATTTACATTGACAATGGAGAAGGTCAGGTTTGGATTCAGACAGCATGGTCTGAGCCTGTCTTCTAGTCAAAGTTAATATTACAAAATAAAAATTCCGTACCTAAATGAGAATAAATTGTGATTCAAACAATAGCCATGAGGATCCAGTGACAGTTTTTGATAGTCCATAAGAATTTAGGAGCAATCAAGTTGCTAAGGAGACCATGTCCTTCTTTGTTGTACTTTACCCTACCTCGGGACAATAATGATTGCCAGTCTTGATTGTATTCCTTTGAAGAAATATAGTTGTGGTTGTCCTGCATATTGCATGGAAGAATCATTAATCTCACAGAAAACATGGTTGAAAAATTAGTTACAAGTAGACTTCTGAAACTTTAGCTGTTATTACTGAATTCCTGACAAAAGAAAGGCTTTAAATCGGTGCTACTTCTTTGAGAGAGACTTTGATGCTTTTTGAGAGTCTTCAAGAGCTAATGAGTGAATAACGAAGAATGGCCAAGACATTGATCTGAACATCCAAATCAATTAGTCGATTACATTTCTAATGAAATGGAGTTAGAAGCTGTGTTCTTTTGGCACACCAGAAACTTGCTCAAGGGTTTGTGTCATCACATTGAAAGCACTGTAGTGTTCAGAGCATAAAAGTGAAGCTGGAGCTGTGCTCATTGTCGCACTGGATGAAGCTGGACTTCGCTCCCAACTTCTAGGGGGTATGAGGTGATTATAATGCTGAAATGACCGTGAAGACCAAATCCTGGAGGTGTGAAAGAAGTCCTACCTCTTCCTTGAACCTACCTGTGTTCTGTGTTGTTGAGGACTGGAAGCTGAATTCCTTGAGCAGCTACTAGAGGAACTTAGAGGCTGAGTAGGAATCACAATGTTTGACCCCAGATCTTGAAATGATTGACTGTAAAGATTTTAGTATTCTGGAGTAATTGTTTATTTCTTGCAGGCCTTGGATTAGTTTTGTTTGATGCCGATGAGGTCATGTACGGAGGGAACATAGAGTTCTCTGTGATTAGCTGGCATAAGGGAAACTTAGAAACATTTAATGTTTCCTCTCCTTTTTTCCTCTTCTGCCCCCGTTTCTGCTGTAGAGGTGCTGAGCTTTTCCAGGCAACGATTGTCAAGGCTGTAAAGGCAAGAATTGAAGAGGAAAAAAAATCAATGGATCAACTGAAAAGACAGTGTGTATTTAATGTGTTTATAGATATATATACACATACATATATATGTATTTCACTGATTGTTGGTATTTATCTAGCACCTTTTATAGAAATGCCAATTAGGTTTTGAAGTATGATTTTGCAATTACAAAAATTGCTCTCTGGGCATTCAGAGATCTTAGGTATTCCAATAGTATGTAGTTTTAGAGTCGTCTTTTCCAAAAAGACAACATACTGCAGAATCTGAACTTTCATTTAAACATAGAATTACATTTCTAGGACCAAAAGTTGTGAGGTTAACATAAGGAATCAGAGTGGAATGTACTGACTTACCTGCTCGTGAGTGAGCCTGAAATTGTAATGGAAACAGATGTTTCCTATAAATAAAGAGATGTGACCACTCCTGCTTATTCTGAAGGTTCTTTCAAACCCTAGAAATCCAATGATGATAGATTAAGAAGATCAGCATTCCACTGTTCCACACCTGAGTGTCATAGCAACATGACCATATAGTCTTCTGTTTAAGAGGTGATCTATATCTGTGCTATAGTTTTTTCTCTGTTAGAGGTCCAGCTCATTTGGTAGTTTTGGTTTATCCTATTTTGTGTGTTATGAGTGCATGCCATGCAGATTAAATGTGGGGAAAAAATCTGGAGTTTCTTTCCTCTTTCTTTCCTTCCACTAATTACCCTGCTGTTCTATCAGTTTGTCTCTCCCCATCTCGCAGAAGAGTAGGATAGTCTGGTTAGGATGAAGAGAACTATCAGCACAGACCGGAAGTTTTGAACAACCCAGTTGTCCTGACTGACACACTGTAACTTCAGCAGCAGATGAGTGATATAGGGAAAGAAATCTAATTATCTGCTGAATTATAGCAACTAGCTGAGATGAAAGAGTTTTGCCCTCTCTAGTGGGTGGTTCTTGCCTAACAAATGGACAGATTAATAAATTTATTTAAGTGCATTTTTGTCACTGAAGTTAGTGAATCATTTGCTTCTAATCCAGTTGTATTGAAAGAATTTATTCCTGTTGATTTCAGGGCTTTTTTACTACCATTTTTTCAAACTGTGAAAACGTCGAAGTCTTAAAAGACCAGATTGTGCTAACTTAACAGGATTGCAAGAAGGAGAATTGAATGCTTGCCTACCTCTGGAGAAAACTGAACCAGAAATACTTCTGTATTTCCAGATATGTGGGACAAATGAGCTTAAGGGGTGAAGATGTAGCACAAATAGCGCAGGAACAGCCACGTCTCTGGTTCAGAGTGGCAAGTTTCAGGAAAACCACTGCAGTGGGCAGACATCCTTTTTTCTCAGAGCTTTATTTGCTGTGTTGTAGCTCCTGATAGCAAGTCTTTTGTTTTTAAATTATAAAAAGATAGTTGAGGGGGAGTAGGTAAAACAGTCATGTGATAGCAGGCAAGCCAGCTCTCACTGACCAGTGAATGAGTGAACATTGAGGCTTGACCCTTCCAGCCAGTCCCTTCAGAGCCATTTAACTCATTCTGTTTAAGGGCAGGATTAATGAAAATGTGGAACGGGTATTCCCTTTAGAAATGTTGGAGTGTGTGTGTGTCTATGGATGTGTTTAATGCTTGTTTTTCAGGGTGGGTCAAAAAAGGGTGAAGACGTGAATCTGATCAGATTCTTCCTTTTGCTAGAATGGATCGCATCAAAGCCAGGCAGCAAAAATACAAAAAGGGTAAAGAGAGGATGCTCAGCATGACCCAGGAGTCCTCAGAGGGGCCAGAGATTCAGAAGGTTTCTGAAGAAGATGACGAAGGTATCATTAGCTATGGTTGTACCGTAATTACAGTTGAGCGCTAAGGACCTAATAGACCTAATAGCTGGACAAGTGATAAATTCTTCTTCAAAACTGTTGGCATGTAACAAGGTTGTTAGCCAAGTGTCAGTTTGGAGCTTAATTCAGCCAAAAACAAGCTGGGATTTTGTTCTACAAGAAGGTTTAGAAGAAATGGTTTGCTTTGAGGTTAATTTTGGTTAACTTCAGGCTGTTGGCAGGGAGCTGAATAGCAGCAGAGGTTTATTTTGAACACAGTACTTATCTGTAAACCACAGTGTTACAAATAGGTAGCATCCACATTTTTCCAGCAACATTTTCTGGATACTCTCAGGTTTCCTCAGTCACTGAAATGTTTGTATACTTCTAAATGTTGTTTAAAGCATGGGAACAGATAAAATGATACCTATCTGGTGCTACATTTCTAGCACTTGGGATCAGCACTTACTGGATTTAGAATTTTCGGACCCTGAAATGTAAGGGGATTTGAGAGGAGGGAAAATATTTTCTTCTTGAAATTACAGTCAACCGTGACTATGTTTTAAAACATAAAACTGAACTTTTTAGCTGTTTTAACTGCTGCATAAACCAGAATGTTTCTGCTTATTCTGCTTAGTGGTCATGCTTCTGAATGATTTTAATATTGAATGTATTCAGTAGATCTGACATCTGATGTGCTCATGAAATTTTAGCTCTTTTGAGAGAAATTAAAAATTATTAACCAGTATAAGAAACATGTTTCTCATTTTGTAAAATTAATATTTGGACATATTTTATTTTAGGAGAAGCAGACAAAGAGAAAGCCAAGGGCAAAAAAAAGCTGTGGTGGCGGCCTTGGGTTGATCATGCTTCCAGTAGGTTTTCTCAATCATCTTACAAATATGTGGATTTAACCCTTATATCCTTGACCAGAATGAAGGCATTCCCATGACCTGTTTGTTTTATGCCTGGTTTTATGATTGTGACTTGATAGAATGTTTTTAACAAATGATTTCTACTTACAAATCTTCAAGCAGTGAGTTTAACCATGTTTTGAACTTCTGTGTGTTGGAAGCATAGCTAGCTCATGATACTTTGGGCTTTATTAGAAAAATAATCAAATCAGATAAACATATGCCAAAAAAGAATCTATTTTGACCTCAAAAGTCTCAATTCCTTCATACTGCAAAGCACAATATATTTTAAAATGTGAAGGTGAAGGTTTGGCAATGCATTCTAAGATTAGTCATAATTTCTTTTTCATATACACACTTCATACATCTTTTGTTGTGGTTCATCAGTCATTCTGCTGTCAACTGTAGAAATCTGAGTACCATAGTAAGGCAGCAAGGCTCCTCCCAGAACTTGGCTGTGTAGAGCTCAGCCGAGTATCTCTGATCACACTTTAATGTACTGTTGATGCCAGTTGTTTTGTTACTGCCATTTTTTTGTATTTATCTGAGAGCAAAAATATGTTCAGCCTTGTGCACAAGAAATTATTAGCCTGTATCACTCATATCATTGTTGCATTATGATATTTTAGTTTGTTTGTAGCCCAGTCCAGGAATACGATAGAGTTCTCTACGTTATGGATTGGGTAAAACAAGAAAGCTGAGTAGACTGCATTCTCAAATCAGATATCCTTCTATTGGATCTTTGTTGAAGAAAATCAGACATGAGCTATTTAATAACCTCTGAAGATTTAAAAAATATTCAAGTATATAGCACTGATCGGAGTTAAATATGAATGTCTATATTGTGCCTGGTCATTTAGTTTAAGAGTTACTACAAATAATACTTTTACACTTCTACATACTGCTTCATTTACCTATGCGTATTTATTTCTAACTTCAGCATATTTATTTGCCATCAGCATTTAACAGGATGTCATATGCTTATTTCTGTCAAGTCACAAGTAAACTGTGCCTCTATTTTTATTTTTCTAAAGGGCACACTGCCACTTTAGAGAGACCTATCCCTTTTCAAAAGCCTATGAAAATAAACTTCTTGCCCTGTAGTTTCATTAAGAATAACAATGAGAAAAAAGATCAAAACTGTGATTTACGAGTTTTTACTCTAGGATTTCAAGGTATAGTGATTTTGAAGGAATGGGATATGGTCTCTTTTATATTCGCCACTGGTTTTGTAATAAGAAGAACCGCTCAAAGAGAGACATTGACTTTGGCTTTTACTTATTTCACCCTCATTATTTGATGTTCTAAGGTGGCAACTTGCATTTTGGTATTTGAACAGTGAGCGTTCTTGAAATTATTTACTGCAATAATGCAAAACCTTGTGGGAAACATCACAGACCCTGATTCTGCAAACAGTGGTTGCCTGCCACGTGGGTAGTATGCACACTCCCTAAGACATGGCACTGAGAGTGGGTGTTCGCGGGCATACAAACTGGAAATAGACTGACATTCCCCATCTATCCTTTTTGAAACACCATGCTGCAACGGCAGCATTCTGCTGCATGTGGCTGTTCATCTCAGTAAATGGGTTTGTGACTGTGGCTGTCTATATGTATATATTGAAGTCTCTCAAGCTTGAAGTTTTATGCCAATTCGGAGGTTTAATTTAGATTTTTATTGTTATTTTTATACCACTTGTTATAATTTTATTATACAGAAACATACTTGATTTTGTATATCATAGGAATTAAAACACAGTCATGAATTTGGGCCCGAGTAGAACAGACTGGAAACATCAGCAAGGGTTTCCTCACTGATGCTCACTCACACTCTGCCTTGCAGGGAGATATGATTCCTCCTGTGCTTGTGGATTACTTATGGAGCCGCACAAAGATCAGCAAGAGTTAGGGCCACATGCTTTGAGGTCCCCAGCTTCTCTTCGGGCACAGAGTTGTGTCTGATGTAGTGCCAAAGATGGTGTTCACAGCTGTCCTCCCTCTAGGCACAAGCAGATGATGGGACTATGCTGACTTCTCCTGCATGGCTCCCCTTCTGCCTCCTCCGTCTCGTCCCACAAGGAAAATGTGCAAGTCCCTTTTCTCAGTAGGAGAAGGTCACATTTTGCAGTAGGAGAGGCACTCCCCAAGTCCAGTCTGGCCGTGAATTATCACTGACACACTTATTATTCCATTTCTTACTCCGTTGAGGGCACTCTCAATAAATTTGCAGATGACACCAAGCTAGGTGCAAGTGTCGATCTGCTGGAGGGTAGGAAGGCGCTCCAGAGAGACCTGAACAGTCTGGATTGATGGCCTGAGTCTAGTGGCATTAGATTCAACAAGGCCAAGTGCTGGGTCCTGCACTTGAGTCACAGCAACCCTGTGCAACACTACAGGATTGGGGAAGAGTGGCTGGAAAGCTGCCTGGCAGAAAAGGACCTGGGGGTGTTGGTCGACAGCCGGCTGGACGTTAGCTGGCCATGTGCCCAGGTAGCCAAGAAGGCCAACGGCATCCTGGTTTGTATCAGGAGTAGTGTGGCCAGCAGGACCAGGGCAGTGATCGTCCCCCTGTACTGGGCACTGGTGAGGCCGCACCTCGAGTGCTGTGTTCAGTTCTGGGCCCCTCACCACAAGAAAGACCTTGAGGTGCTGGAGCGAGTCCAGAGAAGGGCAGCAAAGGTGGAGAAGGGTCTGGAGCACAAGTCTGATGGGGAGCGGCTGAAGGAGCTGGGGGTGTTTGGTCTGGAGAAGAGGAGGCTGAGGGGAGACCTGATCGCTCTCTACAACGACCTGAAAGGAGGGGGTAACCAGGTGGGGGTCGGTCTCTTCTTCCAGGCAGCTAGTGACAGGACAAGAGGGCATAGTCTGAAACTGCAACAGGGAAAGTTCAGGCTAGAAATTGGGAGGCATTTCTTCACAGAAAGGGTCGTTAGGCATTGGGATGGGCTGCCCAGGGAGGTGGTGGAGTCACCATCCCTGGAGGTGTTTAAGAAAAGACTGGATGTGGTGGTCTAGTTGACATGGTGGTGTTAGAGCAAAGGTTGGACTCGATGATCCCAGAGGTCTCTTCCAACCTAATTGATTCTGTGATTCTGTGATTTCAATGTATGCAAGAATGCATTATTGCTATTCAATCATACCTCCATCTTTAGTTGTAAAAGGGGCGTAACTGCTACATTATAGTGTCTCCTCAGATACACTTTAAGCTAAAAATTTTGGATGGAGATCAGTGTAGATTTTTTCTGCCAGCTCAGGCCTTCCAAGTCTGACCGGGTGCTACCCTGAGCCTTGAAGGAACCACACTGCAGAAGAGGTTTCCCCTTGACGTCGGACCTGATCCTGCTGATCTTCTGTGGGGACAATTTCTGTTGCTGACTATAGGATACTATTTTATGAAAGAGAACTGCAGACTACTGGCTCTTAAAATACATTTATCTCTTTAACGCATTTTAAATGGACATTCTTAGAAGACCCTGTACCAGCTAACTAATTTGCTTGATCCCAGAAATTTCCAGACTTTCTTCTCACCTTAGTTCTGCAGTCAGAACTGCTGAAGTGGGCTCTCTGTCCCTCTGCAGGGCATTTGTCAATGTTAAAAGTCATAACTAGGCACATGAGGCACAGAATTCCGTCTGTGAGGGAGTTTTGGGTGCTGAAGTAATGATCCGATAGAGTTCTGGCAAATTTCACAGCATGCTTATCCTGGGGTTTCTACGATAGTTATGTGTGGTCATCTGTGCACAGAGGATCTGTGTAGAATTCAAGGTATGATTGAATTAAAGCAATTGTTACTTTTCTAGAAAACTATAATGAGGGTTAAATATAATTTTCAATATAAACAGGTATTGCTCCATATATCCGGATTGTGTGACATTTCATCTAAGTAACTGTTCCTTTAAATATTTCAGCTTAAATGTGGAATTTACCAGTTTTCACTGCTGAATGTAATGCTGTGATTTTGATTTTTCTCTTGCTCAATACCTCATCTTTAATTTCTTTTGTTTCCTTTGTTCATTCATGTAGGCCTGTTACCATCTGAGAAATAAAAACATTGCTTCTGTTCAAGGATATAAGGCCTAGCTTATTCACTGTGCATCTTTACTGTATCAAGGTTTCAGAATCTTTCTGAATCCATGGGCAAAAAATTGAAACTCATTTGCTATCACGTTAATAGAATACAAGTGATTTATTTTAAAGAAACCAAGGTTTTCCATTACCTCATCAAAGCTTAAATATTTGAAGAAAACATTGACTAATACCATCCCATTCCATAGTTTAAAGGATACCTCGGCATTTTAAAGAGAAGTTCTGTATTTTTTGTCCAGTGGTACTGTTCCATGTAAATTCATTTACTTACCTGCTGGGCTTTTTTTTACTCCCTCAAATAACCATCAGTTCCCAATTAATTTAGACTTAACTGCCATTTTTTTTCTAAAAACAAAGTAACCTAGTAACTTGATATATTTCAAGCTTTTTCTTTAAGTTTTCCTCTCATAGTGATGTTTTCCTTAGTTCTTGTGTAGTTCTCATTCATGACCAAAGTATCGCAGACTAACATCAAATAAATTGCCTGAGACCTTTTCATCTCTTTCTTCTTCTCTGTTTTCATCTCTCCTGGTTATGAATTTTTAAATGACTGGCTGGCTTTTCATAGGTCTTGGGGCAGCTGAGAATAAAACCTTTCAAAAAATAAGTAAATATTTTGTTTCACTTAGTGGTCAGAAGTGGAAATTATTATTTGTTTGAGACGGATAGTGAAGAGGAAGAGGAAGAGGAGAAAAAAGAAGAGGAAGAGCCTCGAAAAAAATCTGCGTTTCAGGTACTTTATGGTAATTTGCTTTCTAGTTGACATCTGGAAAAAAATGTAGGCTTCTCATAACACGGGCACATATGTTAAAGCAGACAGTACATCTTAAGTAGACCTAAAAAGTATTGGAAATGGAATTTCTTGCCAATTTAAAAAGCAAGTTTGCCTGTTTTAAGCATTGCCAAATTCCTACAGGAACTATAGTGAAATCATATCCTCATTCACTTATGCCTGAGGAAAACAAAAAAAACCAGAAACAAAGGTTAAGAATCTAAGGTTTATTTTTTCTGCGTTGCAGTAAAGACAAATGAGGAAGCTGACTTGCTTCTGGCACTGCTGTACAATGGTTCCGTGGTTTTCTGGTTTTGAGGAGATGTTATCATTCCATGAAGAAGTGATCCAAAAATAAGCAACTTTTCATGGAAAAGAATACATACTTAAAAAATATATACTTTTTTATTATTGATCCTAGTAGACCAAAGAAATACATCCTTGGGTTATAAAGAGCTTAACATTTAAAATTATGAAAAGAGACTACATCACTTTCTCCCCTTTTTTTTTTTTCAGGATAGCGTTAGTGAATAGGTTTGCGTTTTAAGTGACAGACTGTGTTGAAGTAAGGGGATATTGTAATGTTGAAAAGATAGCTGAAGTTTCCTAGCTGAGTTCCTTCATATAGACTGGTTGATGTTAGATGGTACCAGGTATTGAATCCAATGGCTTAAATGAAGAACATGAGTGAAGCAGTTAATGAAATACTCGTGCATATAGGATTGCTTTAATCTTCATAAGATGAAAGTTTTATTTGTTGAAGAATTTTCAGAAATACCACAGAGTTTTTTCAGATCTGTAACTTCAAAAGCTTCAGGAAACAGGTAGCTTTTTGCAGATGAGTATTCCCATCCAGATGCAAGCTTGTGTCACTGCAGAACTGGTGGATTACTGACAGCCCAGCCCAAGCAAGACTAAGAAACTGCCTCCATGCTTTTCTATTCCTTAAGCCAACAGCTTTCAGACAAAGCTTCCCAGATGACATTACTGAATTACAAGAATAAATGTTTTATTTAATTCATTGATACAATGTGCCTTTAGTTTGTATACTTACATTACGTTACCAACTGATCACATTTGTTAAACTGCCTGCATGGTAATGACATGGAAAGACTTTTTCCTGACCTTAAAAAAGGTAAAACAAATCTGGATGAAAAATAATGTTGTAAGTAAGTTTTCTTTTCTACTATTAATGCTAATTTCTTTTGTATTTTGCATTTAACTCACCTTGGACCATGAAAATGGCTCATAAATTTCTAGGTCATTTTTCTCTCTGGTTTTCATGCAGGTATAGAGGAAAATTTGCATTCTTGTTTTTCCTAATTTTTTAAAAAATTGATGACTTAGATGTGCTGGTGCCAAGCGCTGAGATTTTAAAGAGTTCTGAACTTGAAGTCGGAAGCTCTTAAGATTCTTTCATTTACTCTGTGTTTTGGATTTTTTGTTCATTTGGTCTTATTTTTTAAAGCTCAGTCCTGAAACTATTAGTCTGAGGATGGAGACTCTGGTTTTTATTTCAAAATTCTGGTCAGATGTCCTGTATAGGTGGCCAGTTCTGCCAAATGGGCAGCATGAAGGTGTTGGATGGCTTTATGTAGGAGGGGAGTTGTATAGAACAGAAAATCGTTTTTGTTTATGAAAAGCTTGTTCATCGTTTGGGCATCATACCTTATTTGCCTTCCATCAGCATGCACATGGTCTTAATAAAAATACTAGCAAAGTGAACCTGTTTGTTGTAGAGCCTGCTAAAGAATTATTTTTAATTGTTGCTTTTTCTTTTAGTGTAAATTGTGTGCAACAGTCACTTCAAGGGTTAACTGGAAGATTTTATTTATTAGAGAATGAAGGCAGTTAAGAATATTGAAATTTTATTATGAACATCACAAATTACCTTTTTTCATATTGGAGTCTGTGAATGTAAATTCGTTCTTAATAATCTAGATACAATCATTCAGTAGATACTTTCTATTAATATTTTCTTGTTTTCTACTAATTGCTCTTGCTTTGTCCTTCTTTATAGAGAGCTATTGGGAAATTTGCTTCAGCCATTTTAGCCTTGCCAAAGTCTGTCATTAAACTACCTAAAACTATTCTTCAGTATTTAATCAAAGCAGCAAAGGTACTTGACATTTTGCAAGTGCGCAGTATGTGACCCATCCCATAGTTCCTGATGTAATATATACCTCTGTCCTCATCTGCATTTTTCCTCTTACATGAACAATTTAAAAAAATAATGACAGCCAAAACTTCATTCCTAGTAAATGCAATACATTTCATAGTTTGGGAGTGGTAAAGCCACAAGAAAAGTGGTCTGTATTTTTTTAAGTGCAACCTCGGAGAAAAAATGCAGACTCAAATTCTCTTTTTCTTCTGATTGTGCTATACAAGATGGTCACATCAAGTTGCATGTATCTTATGGACACCATGGTAATTAATCTCAGAAAGCTGGTAAAAGGGTTGTAAAACACACATTCTGCTCCAAACTTTGTTTTAGCTCTCTACTTTTCTGGCCTTCGTCTTCATAAAAAAGATTTGTACATCATCTTTCTTGTCCTCCTTGAATACATTCAGCATTTCCTGCCTTTGAGCACTGTATATCATTTTGCACTCCTTATACCATAACATGGTATTTGTAAGGAGTGAACATTACAGATTGAGCGTACTAGCTCCAAAGCCTGAAAGATATGGCATTTGAAGTTTGTCCAGTGGTAAAAATCTAAAGTAATACATATGTATGCACCCAGTCAGCTCTTAAAATATCCACTGCTTAGCATAAATAATTACATTAAATTTATTAATCAAATGCCCTTTCTTCATTCTAATCTTCTACCCTCTTCCGAGTCTGTCTTTTCCCTCTAATTTCTCTGTTCACACTGACTGTGGCTAGCATACAGTTTCTCAGCTAACTGTTCAGTAGCACATGTTGACAGTTTCTGACTTCTAAATAATACGGTATTAGTTCACTTAAGTATTGCCATTCCCCCAGATCACCTTCATTAGAAAACACCTGTTACAAAGCAAAGATAAACCAGTGCCTCTGATCACACACATTTTCTCATGTGATGCTTGTTTAGAACAAGTCAGACATATAAAAATAAATGTACAGACCTTGAGAGATTTGGAAGAAGACCTCCTTATCAACAGTAGCAAAATAATTTCGTCTCCATTATTGTATACTTTCACAAAACAGAACAAAGTATTTTTCCCTTTTAAATGTATGTAAAATCAATTTGACAGTTTTAAAAAATTGCTTTTTATGTTCCAGAGCAATTTTTGGATGCAAATTTTATATATAAATAAACCAAATAGAAATTTTGCCATTCTGTCCTTTGAGGGGCAGTTCCAGCTTCACTGAGATACATGTATGATGTCATTGTCTGCATGTTTGTCTTGTGATTTAATAGAGCTGTTTTGTTACTGTGCTTTATTTTCATCCCCATGCCTGCATCTGTGTGCTTCCTTGCCGTGCCTCTGTTACCAGCCTGTGTCACTTAGAAATAGAAGACAATGCAGTGCCAATTTGAGATGATTCCCATTTTTCAATGAAAACCATAAAAGGAACAAAAGAACATCTTTTGTCCTAAAGAGTTGTGGAGAAGATACAGTTACTTTAATTGCTGTTATTCACATTTCATGTCATATAGGGAAAAAAGATCTGAGTGTTACTGCTTTTTTTCTGTAACCTTCCATCACAGCTTGAGTAGAACTATTCAAAAAGTTACTTTTGGGTAACTTTTTTTTACACACATGCATCTCCACCCCCGCTGTAGCGTTTATAAATATTTTGAGCCAATTCCATGCTTCATGTAGTCATGAAGGATTTGGCCCCCTAAAATCCCCTTGATAAATAGGTAAGTATTACTGTCTTCATTTTACAACTGGAAAAACAATAGCAGAAGGGTTCATAAGTGACTTCTCTGAAACCACAAAGGGAGCCATTGTCAAAATCAGGATGAAATTTGAGGAATTCCTGACTGCCAGGTTTGGGACTGTACACTGATAGCAAATCTCTAAATGTTCCATTGGGATCTGCAGGGGTGACAAAAATACCTTGAATATGAAAAATGTACAAGCACAAATACTTGTACTGAGATATCACTACATCTTCTGATGTTTTAGTTAGTTGATTGCAGCACTTTCTCATAAAATTTCCATTACTCTGCATCTTGCTGGTAAAATGATAAAATAGAAATACAGAATTAAATTGAGAGATTCAGGTGAAGTAGCCCATATGCACAATAGGGTATTAATTCCCAAAGTTCAGAGCATGAATTTTTGTGGGTTCTAATGAAACTTGGTTCACCCACAAGTGTTTTCACATTTGGTTTTATGCTCGCAAAAATAGCACTTGAAAACTCAGCAGATCTGCAGGGGAGGTGTTTGATTTAGGATTCAAAGTATTTCCTTACCCATGCAGATCTGAATGTATTTACTCAAACTATGTAGTCCTGCTTGTGGCTTATTCTATGGCTTAGTCTCAAAACATGAAGAACCTTGAAATAAATGAGTTTTTTCCTTCCAGTTTGTTTATCAGGCCTGGATTACTGACCCTAAAACAGCACTACGACAGAGGCACAAAGAAAAGAAAAGTTTTGGGAGAGAGAAGCGAAGGCGAAAAGGATCTGGGGATGGTAGGTAGACTTTTGCATTTTAAAAAATGTAGTGTTAACTAGAATGCTTGTTGTTCCTGGTAGTGAAAGGCAGCTGGGCTTTAGAGGGCAAGTGCTCTCAGTTCTGGCTAGGAACTGGAAAAACGCATTTACCTTTGGCTGGCTGTCTCTACCTCCACCAGCCCCTGCCAAGGCCAGCCATTGCTGTGTCCTCCTCTTCTGCACCGTACACTTTGGGGGAGGTCAAGAAGAGGGGTTGTATGTGTTTTCCATGGAGCTGCAAGACATATGCCCAGAACTTTTGCCAAGTAGGAAGACTCAACACATTGCAGAAGACATCAGCTATATGAAAATATTTGTGGAAGTATAGTACATGTAAGAGAAAACCATAGCCCTGTAAAGGCATAACTTTATAAAGCAAATAACCTGGTAGTTAACAGCATTTCTCCAGAATATGGGAGAGTAAATGCCAGCTGTTTGGCCAGAATCAGGCAGAGCAAGGACATACCCTTTTACTCTCTCACCCCATAAAAAGGTTTATCTTACTCTCCAGGTTTTTCTAGGGTTGCTCAAAGTCTCATTTTGATAATAAAATCACATGTATTCCCAGGGAAAGTTTTGCGGGTGACAGACTTACGTTTTGTGTTGAAGAACTATTTCATGAGGAAGTTCCTGAAAAGCTGTAGCTCAAGTGGAACTGTAAGAAAAATTCGATGAAAAAGCCACATATTATTTCTTTTTGCCACATTTCCTATATTGTTCCCTAAAGAAGTTTGAGTTGATACATGCAGAAGAATATCAAGAAATGTTTTTCACTTTCCATGCTGTACTTACTGAGTAACCCAAACATCCATGAACCCCCAAATTCACAGTGAATTCAGCAGATGGCAAAAGGAAAACATACAAAGGTTAATGGGGTTTTACTGGCACTGTAAAGTAGTTCATGCCTCTGAAAAAAATCAGTTTATAAGTGGTTCATATCTCTTCATCTTTTGCTCCTTTTTTAAACAAGAAAAAAAAAATAGTAATTCAGAAGGTTTTCTGGTTGGTATAGATAGTGAAGAGGGCCCCATTCAGACTGAATCAGCTGGACTTTTCCTCCATCTGGCATCTTCACCTGTCAAAAAGAGGGAGCGTTATAATTTGGCTGCTACCACTGAAACTGTAGCTGTAACGCTTACTGTTTTGCTCATTGTTTTCAATAGGTGGTACTGATGCAGACTGTGAAGACAGTGAAGAGGAACCTGCCAAGAAGAAATCTGATGGACCAGGTATGAAGGCAGAAGGAGGGTTTCTCTGCTCTTAGAATGCAGTTGTGCCCAGCAGCGTAAGCAGCATATCACAGAGAAAGTGCTGCAGTGATCCCAGGCTTGCAGAAAAGCCACAAAATCTACTCTAACCTGTGCAGTGAGACCTTCCTAACTACTTTCACGTTTTCAGTTGCCAGATTTACAAGTTCTAAGCAGAGGAACTTCTACTCTTGGACTACTAGCTAGTGCATTCATTCTCTACACACTTTAGTAAATACATCTGCAGGCTCAGACTTGATCACTTGCTGTATATTTTGCTTATAGAACAACTTACAGCTAAACTTAGCTTCCAGTCCTCATTGCATACTGCTCTGTGTTAAAACCTCCATGGATTTTGAATGTCTGAAATGTTGATATTAGCACAAAGACCTTGTGTTTTTTCAATGCGTTTTAGCAAGATTAATGTAATGCCTTTGTCTGGTACTCACCCGTTCAGCAAAGTGCAATAGTCTTCTCTAAAAAATGAGATTTTCTCGATCTTACCCATTCTCGTTCATAATCAGACTTAAGGAGGCTCTGCACAACAGAAGAAATGCCAGCAGTTTACAAGATCTTGCCCATATTGAAAGTTTTCCTACAAAGACGTGTAATAGATCGTAAATCTAAGCTTGGCTCTTTGTTTCTAACTGGAGTAAAAGAAGAAAACAGACTCTCCTCTTAAGTAAGTCTCCATCATGGCTTACCTTGAGTGAGACTTTGTCTTCACAAGCTGTTTTTCTTCTTTATTTAAAATTGATTACCACAGTTCGAGTTAGAATTGTATACCTGACTGAGCCACAGAGCAGAAGATGTTACAAGGATATGGGAGGTGTTACTTCTTTCTCACAAGAGCAGTGGTCTCAAATAGAGGAGTTGCCTTGCTATAGCGGTTTTTTGGTGGGTTTTGGAGGCTTTTTTATTTGTTACTTACTGGCGATGCAGTTACCTGTGTTAAGACACTGAAGTGAATCACTCCAGTGCATCTCTAGGGAAATATTGTTAGTGCTACACAGGTTTGAGAAGAAGGTTTATAATTAATTTATATTGGAAGTAGTCAATTTAAGGTGCTTTATGTTTTAACTGAAATACTTTGACCATTCCTAGGTAAAACTTGTTAAAGAAGATGATTGGAAAAATTAGACGGTAATTGTTAATGAAACATTAGTATCATTATTAGCCTTAGATCAAATCCTGTCTCACATTCTCAGACAGAGAGAAGCCTTCTCTGCGTTTGACCCTTTAAGTTAGAATAACAGTCTCTGCAGAAAATAAATATTTGTTTCCCTTTTTGAAGATGTTTAGGTGCAATTGATCCACAAAAGATTATTTTTTAAAAGTTTTGGAGAACAGCAAAGCTGCCAGAACGGCTATAGCATCATTAAAAATGTATACTAAATCACCTCCATCCCAGAGAGAAAAATGACCTTTCTGATTAGGCTGGAAGTGCTTGGCAAAGCACTGTGGTGATACTATGGCATGCTGGTGGTGGTCAATAATAAAGATAATTTTAACCTGAGAACTGTGTTTCTCCTGAAGCTGGTAGCAGAAATTATGTATTAGATAGGAAGAGTATGGGTTAAAAAAGAACTTTTATATGTTGTATATTTTTGTGTATGAGTGCTGTGTTTTCTTTTACCCTATTCGTAATATTTTCTGGAATTCAAATAAAATGCATGGTCCTTGAAGTAGAAACAGCCTTACATTTAATTTCCAATGGCAAGATTTCCTTAGCTTCAAGACCTGTGCATTGAAATATGAATGAATAAAATTTAAGTAGATAAATCATAAAATATCTCCCAATTCTAAATGACATAGAAAAAGCTTGAAAAAAGGGGCAAAATATCATTGAAATAATTATATGACCAAATGAAGGGGGCTGAATGTTCTTATGTTCAGAGATACCTGACCAGTTCCATGTGATTGCTTAGGTAAATGGTACCTGCTGCCATTTCAGCAGCCACTTTACAGGAATGTACCACTAATGTTTTTTTTTTTCCTTTGTTGCTCTGCACACGTATGTGTTATGACCCTGCCTGCAGACCCAGAGACACATGCATGTTCCCCCATAGGAAGTCTTCTGCTTTATTATAGCTTCACCTTTGCATTCTTTGTAAGGAGCGAGTGTGCACTCCACAAAGTTTTGTGTGCCATCTTGTGGTACAGCTAAGAAGTGAGGTTGTTGAAAGCATCATGCTTTAGCGCACAGATTGGCTCCTTAATATCTACTTCAAGCATTTTGTCCCTGCGTGGCAGATTATTGAGAGTTTTCTATTATTTCTTAGTCTGGTTACTCTAAAATTGCAACCTAGCAGGGACAACTAGTTCTGGAACTGGCTAGTTGGAAAGAAATTGTTTAGTATTTGTGCAACACTATACAAGAACTGTAGCATGGTCTCACTGTTTGTGAGTAGAAGAAAAATAGGCTGAAAGTGCTGCTTTTTGGGTGAGAAATGCAGTTGCTAATGCTAGAGAAGTACTGAAATGAGAAATTAACTTGAGACAGCTGTGCTGAGCAAAATAAAGCTACTATTGATGGTATAAACCCATAAGGCCTACTCATGGGAAAGTGTACTCTTTTGGCAAAATGGTGCCAGAGTAATGTTTTACAGATGATTTATATGATTTGTCCTGGTTGGCCTATTGATCTGAGATCACTGATGATACAGTGCAGCCTATTTTAAAAAAGAGATGCTTTGGAAACAGTAAATACAGAGCAGTGTGTTTAGGTGGCTGGGAAACTGGGAGAGGTTCAAAGACTGTTTAGGCAGGTTAGACTTTAAAAACTCAGCTAAGCAAGGTTCAAGCACAAAAGGCAACCTCTGTGCAGAGAGAAACGCGCAGAAGTAAATAGGCAGGTAAGGGGTTCAGCTGAACACACTGGCTGAGCAGCTGTTGAGATCACAGGAGCTGGGGCTGTTGAATAGCTCTCAGGAGATGCCCAAACCTTTGGGTTTCCTTTTGCAGACCTGTGCATACCGCTTCTCTAAAATCAGGGCCTGTTCATATGACTAGCGATTGCAGGACCAGAGAGTTACAGGGTGGAAAAGGGATTCCAGATGATAAGCCTAGACATACAGGCAGGAAACTGACCCAGACAGCCAAAAGGCCTCCAGCCATCTTCAGAGGTTCCTTACTATGACAGGGTCTTGCAGCTTGGATTATTATTATTAGACAATAAAGGAAAAACTAATCTGACTCCAAGCAGAAATATAGTGAAAGATATTTGCATTCATTGACTCTCTGTTGCTTTTCATCTCCCTTAGATAACATCATCAAGAGGATATTTAATATCTTGAAGTTCACTTGGGTCCTTTTCCTGGCAACACTAGACAGTTTTACAGCTTGGCTTAATTCCATCTCAAGAGAACATATCGATATCTCCACTGTGCTAAGAATTGAGCGCTGTATGCTGACCAGGGAGATTAAGAAGGTAATGCCTTTAGTCTTTTTTGTCTGCTAATACCATTTCCAGACCAGTGAAAAATGAAAGGTTGTCTTTTCAGATCACTGTGTTAAGAAGAAAAATTATAAAAATCTCACATATACATACATTTTAAAAATAGATCTGAACTCTTCACTGTGTGAAAAACTGGCTGGCTGACCAAGCCCA